ACTGACACCAGCCTCAGTCCACTCCTTATGAAGCTCCCCCAGATTTCTGAATCGCCCTTGCTTGACAATCCTCTCAAGGCTGCGGTCATCCCTGTCACTTTTGCACCTTTTCCGGCCACATTCTTCCCTTCTTCTTAAGACTCTGTTAATATACTTTGATACTGCGTTCTGTGAGCATCCAGCTTCTTTTGCAATTGCCTTTTGAGACTTTTCCTCCTTATGGAGGGTGTCAATGATGGTCGTCTGCACAACCGTCAAGTCAGCAGTCTTCCCCATGATTCTGAAGCCTACTAAGCCAGACTGAGACAATTTCAAGGCTGAGGAAACCTTTGCAGGTGTTTTGCATTAATTAGCTGACTAGATTGGGACACAGGGAGCCTACAATGTTGAACTTTGTCATGATATTCTAATTTTGTGAAATACTGGATTTGGGTTTTTTTTTTTGTCTTTAATCCATAATCATCAAAATTGAAACAAATAAAGGCTTGAAATATTTCACTTTGTGTGCAGTGAACTAATATAACATACAAGTTTCACTTTTTGAAACAAATTATTGAAATAAATGGACTTTTCCTCGATATTCAAATTTTTTGGCACATACCTGTAAGTGTATCTTCAACAAATCACTGGAGCTGTGTGAAGTCCCCTCCTGCTTCAAATGCTCCACCATCATCCCAGTCCCCAAGAAACCCTCCATCAGCTGACTGAATGACTAGACCTGTTGCCCTAACATCTGTAGTTATGAAGTCCTTTGAAAGACTGGTGTTGCCCCACCTGAAGGGCATCGTAAACCCCTGCTGGACACTCTGCAGTTCGCCTACTGGGCAAACAGGTCAGTGTATAATACAGTGAACATGGCACTGCATTACATCCTGTAACACCTCAACTCCCCAGGGACCTATCCACAGGTCCTTTTGTGGACTTCAGTTCAGCGTTCAACACCATCATCCTGGACATCCTCCACTCAAAAACTGACCCAGCTCACTGTGTCTGCCCCACCTGCTTTCTGACAGACAGGAAGCAGCAGGTGAGGCTGGGGAAAACCACATCCAGCACCTGGACTATCAGCACAGGCGCCCCCCAGGGATGTGTGCTTTCCCCACTGCAGTTCTCCCTATACACCAACGACTGCACTTCAGGGGTCCCCTCTGAAAAGATTCTAAAGTTTGCAGACCACACAACAGTCATCGGTCTCATCCGAGATGGTGACGAGTCAGCCTACAGGCGGGAGGTTGAGCAGCTGGTCCTGTGGTGTAGCCGCAACAACCTGGAGCTGAACACGCTCAAAACAGTGGAGATGACAGTGGACTTCAGGAAGAGCCCCCCTACCATACTCAACAGCACTATATCAGCAGTAAAGTCCTTCAAGTTCCTGGGCTCCACTATCTCCCAGGACCTGAAGTGGACATACAACATCAGCACCATCACCAAGAAGGCACAGCAGAGGATGTACTTCCTGCTCCAGCTCAGGAAGTTCGACCTGCCCCAGGAGCTGCTGATACAGTTCTACAGAGGAATCATCTGTTCTCTGCTTTTCCATTACTGTCTGGTTTGGCTCAGAAACCAAACAGGACAGGAACAGACTCCAGTGGACAGAAAGAATCATCAGTTTAAAAATTGACATATTACAGCTTTACATTTTAATGACTAACAATTTATTTGTTAGTTAATAAACACATCATAAAAAAGAACATTTAGCAATATAACACAAACATACAGTGGGCATATAAAATATCAACAGTGAAAACAGACAAAAGACAAACAGTATTAAACCACACAGACATAAAGAAGGCATTGCCTGGTTAAAGTGCATGAATGGGAACTCTCTGTAACAGGTGATAAAACAGTTAAATGCAACCTGCCATATAAACCAGATGGATACCTGAAATATAAGAACTGCATGAAAAAAAAATTCCCCTTTCTCCTCAGAGCGCCTGCACTCATACTGGCCTTTATAATGAAATAAAAACACAGGTCTACTAGACCCGACAATTCACACAAAGGACTGTCTTTAAGAAAGGGACAATATGGATCTAAACAGTCCTGGGGAAACATATCTAGATTTACCCTGAAACACCAGCAGACACCATGTAGGAATACATCTGAGAACTCTATGTTATGATTTCAAATGCTACACCTGGTACAGCATTAATAAATCACTAGAAAATACTAGCAGCCTCCATACAGTAATTCATATAATTTCAGATTAGATTTTGCAGGAAATCTGCTTTATAGATGTCTTTACACATGGTCTGGAAAAAAAAGACTTCCAGGTTGAGCAAGGATTGAGGAGTGAGGAGCGATCATGTAAGAGAAGTGAGATGCAGCCCTAGTGATGGCCACACAAGGCTTTCCTGAAACAATGACTTTCTTTCACTCTATAAGATTCATTACTTTAAGTAAAATTTTACTCAAGGTTTACTACTGTTAAAAGCAATAAAGTGCAACCATTTTATAGTCAGTTATGCCATAAGACATACTGTAGTGCAAATATTACTGGCATGTTGCTGCAGTTGAGAGTGTGACTGAGAGAAGAAAGGAAACCTTTTATTTAGAAGCAAAAGCTTCTATTATATTATATGTCATATACTCTTTAGCTTATAGGGAAATATTAATTCAAACTGTTCCTAAACAAGAGAAGATTTCCTCCTTTTTGCACTCACATTGTCAAGAGTCAAATCAAACATGACTCAAAAACTCCATCTCTTCCATACTGCTAAAATCTTGGCAAACCAACTACATCCATGAAAGGTTCAGCTTTCTTGGTTCTTGTATCATCAAATCAAAACTTAACCAACATTCTGCAAGAAATCCACGCCTCATTTGTCATCAATCATATGATTCTCTGAATATGATAGGAGCCTCGATATGACGTTCTAGCAGAAACTATTGTAAATACTCAAGCCATGCTTTGGATCCTACATTTTATTTTATTTACTTAACCTTTATTTTACCAGAAAAACCTCACTGAGATTAAAAGTCTCTTTTACAAGAGTATCCTGGTCACTGTCCACTGTGAAGTACTGAGACACAGACTAACACACTGCCGATTTTGGCGTTTTCATGTAAAACAGGGGTGGCCACTCCCAGTTTTCCAACAATCCCTAACCTACCCAAGATGCCATCTTAGATGACGGTGGAGTGAGGAAAGACAAAGTGAACTGTATCTTCCAGCTTCTGATTGACTGAACACACCTGATCCAGGTCATCAGCAGTGGGTTTGGCAGGTATAGTTGGAAAACAAACAGGGCAGCGGCCTTCCAGGCCTGGGACTGGCCACCCCTGATGTAAAGTGTTGACAGAGGAAACACATAATAACATTGTCTTTATTCATCTAAACTAAATATACAGCCCATCGCTCAGCAGAGTGCTAGACTGTGGTCGAGACCTTTGACTGTGTTGATGCTCCCTGTCTCCACCTCTTCTCCGACTCTCTTGGTCCCTCTTCTTCCTCTTTTCCACCTCCTCACCAAACCCCCTCTCAAACTGTCTCCTCAAATTCTCAGTCCTGCTCCCTTGTCCCCCGTTACATCTCTCCCTGCAGTCACCATCCGGGACCGTCACTCTCTTGTAGTGACTCGTCTTTGAATCTGATTCCTCCCTCCTGCTCTCCGACTCTCGCTCTGAATGCTCGCTCCTTGACACGTGACTTTGGTGTGACCCTTTCCTCATGTCACTTTTTTCACAATATTTTCTCATCCCTCTCTCTGAATCTCTCTTACATGGTCTCCCTTCTTCACTGTCTCTTTTCTCTTCTCTGCGTTTTGCCATCTCAACCCTCCAGTCCTTCATTGCTCTCTCCTCCTCTCTCATCCTCCAGCTCTCTGTCCTGTCGCTTTCTTTTCTAGTGAGTCTCTCCACGTCTCTGCTGCTGCTGCTTCCTCTCTCACTTTCTCTCAGTTCATGTTTGGCCCTTCTTTCTCTGTCTTTGTCACTCTTGTCACCCCTGTTGCTAAAATTCTTCATACTACTGCTTTCTACTTCCTTCTCTTTATTCACTGCTTTCCATTTAGACTTCGTCCATTTTTCATCCTCTTTGCTACTCTTGCTTCTTTGGCTTTCTCTCTCTGTCATGACTGAATTTACATTTCCACTTCTGTCTTCTTGTTTCGGGTCACTTGATCCATTTTTAACTTCTTCCTGTTCTTTTACATCTGCCCCTTTCTCTTCCTCATCTGTTTTGCTGTTTGTACCGATATCTTTTTCTGCCTTGTCTCGCTTGCTCTCACATTTTTCTTTTACAGCTGTTATTTGATTCCCTGTTTTTGTGTCTTTTTTGCTTCCTTTCTGAGTTTGTTTTTTAAAAGCTTCCTCTTTTGCTTTGCCACTTTTCTGCTCTTGTTCCTCATCAGAAAGCTTCTCTAGTTTGGACTCTAACTTGCTCTCGCCTTTTTTCTTTTTGCTTTCCTTATTCTTCTCTTTCTTTGCATTATCTTCTCTTTTCTCCTCATTTTCGTCCTTGTCCTTTTTCTCTGGATCTCCTTTTTCATTCTTGCTTTTCTTATTTTTCTCCTTACTTTTCTGATTTTCCACCTCTTTGCTCTTCTTCTGCTCCTCCTCAACCTTTTTGTCCAGTTTCTCCTCCAGGAGGTCCAGCTCCTGCTCCAGCTCGAGAAGCTTCTTCGGATTCCACTCCAACTCCTCTTCAACCTGCACCTCCTCAATCTCCTCAAACTCTTCCACCTCGATGCCGTCCATGGTTTTCTGCAGCTGAGTCTTCACCTTGTTCAGCTCCAGTAGGCCATCCTGGAGGTCTTTACACACCTCCCTGATTTTGGCGGCAAACTTAGTTTTGGCACCTTTGCGGAGCTCATGGGAGTCTTTGGCCAGGAAGAAAACATCCAGAGCCAGGAAGAGAGCAGACATAACTCCTGTAGTGATGCTGATGGCCTTGGCAGCTTTGGCTGCGCCGCCTGCAGCGCCCAGAATGTGCACAGTGCTGATGAGTTTGTCAGTACTGATCATCAGCTCTTTCCCAGCACGACCGCCTTCTTTCAACACATGCTTGACGCTGTGGTTCAGAGCCTTTTTGGCAGTGCTTTGAGAATATTTCTCAAAGTCCCACTCCTGCAGGGTGTCCATACCTTCCTACAAGAGACACATAGACAAGTGGAAGGGTCAGAAAGGAGACAAATATCCCAGTGTATCTACTAATACATTTTGTGTTTCAGTTTTCCTGCAAGTGAATAGTGGTTTATGTCTCAAAACATCATTTTAAACCACTAATGAGATGGTCCTAAAATCCCAGGATTTCACCATAATTTTAATACCTACATTGCTTTGCAGTAAAAGCTAGCTTTGGCATAGTTCAGTTGTGCTTCCATTAGCATAGATTGGGGAAACATACTTTAAAAAAACTGTTAACGCCAAGCTAACTGATCACTATGCTGCAAACCCTCAAGGCTGTGTAGTAAATATCAGCAGTTATTGCAAATAAATATTAATTTGGATATAGATTTTCCTTATTTGACTCTTCGTTGTATCTGCACTAGTGCTGTAAAAATTAATGGCTTAAGTGATTTATTGATTGACAGATCATTAATCAGCTACAAGTAATTAATTTCACAAAAATGGCATTCAATATTCCAGCTCCAGATGTGGATATTTACTAATTTATCTTTTCATAACATTATAAATGTAATATATTTGACTTTATCATAAAAATAACCGATCATGATAACAATTACCTGGTGTAAACTATGTACTATATGATGCAGTTTTTCTCTCTCTCAATCTGCACCTGATGGTACAAGCTGCAAACCTGTGAGATTCATGTACATTTCTACAGAACAAACTTAAATGTGTCTTCACCTGCAGAAACTCCAAACACTCCCTGATGATTTTGATCTCATCCTGGTAGTCCTGGATCATCCTCTCCACCTTCTTTCTGTCCATTCTAGAGTGAACTGTGTCTGTGATGTTAGCCGTCGCTGAGGTGATGCTGCCCGCTGTCGCCACACTGATGCCCACCGCCGTGACAATAATAGAGGCACCAAAAGTGAAAGGTGCCAGAATGAGCCCTACCCCCCCCGCCCCGCCACACTGGCTCCCCCTCCACCCACGGCGGCTGTCACTGTTTTCTTATGGAATTCATCTGCACCATCAGCCAGGGCCAAAAGCTCCAGGATGCGCTGCTGTAAGGATGCTCCCCGCTGATTGAAGAGACGCACAAACAGTCTGGCTGCCATGTAGACACGATTGGCCACCTGCTCCATAGCCCTGAAGAGAGAATTGAGACATGTGTAGTTTATGATTAGTTGGTGTCCTATTTCCATGTATGTGTCCCATGTGAAAGTTGCAGGTGGTCACAGCAAAACCTCAGCTCTTAAAATATTTACATTTATCATTTGAAACCCAAAGCTGGCGAATATTGCACGAGGAAATAAAAATAAACAATAACCATAGCCTAATAAATGACACAATGCCAAATAATATTTTCTGGAGAACTTTAAATGAAAAGTTATTTTTTAAAAACTTACACTTCCTCATCCTCCACCTGGAAATTGGACGTCTTGTTCCATTCTGCCCAACCTGGAAAAATGATGGGGTAAAAAAATAAAATAAAACTAGTTGTTTGATTTGAGTATTTGATACTGATTTCTTTTATTTCCTAGGTCATTCACATTACAACAAACCACCAGTGTTTTGCATGGGTGACTGTTTCTATTTCTATATTTTCCTTTGGTGGAGCTGTACAATAAGCAAACAGTGCAAACAACACAACAAGCTTATCTTTTCAAATGAATTGTCAGCACTCACACTAACCTTTTACTGTGTTCCACCACTCGATCAATTCATCATCCTCCTGAAAACAAAGACCTCCGTTAATAAAGAGACAACTTATCAGGTGTATATACCGATTTAAAATCACACAAACACTAAAACACACCTCCTCAGACTCGAGAGGGATGTTTTCAGTCGGGTAAGCTGCCATCTCCAAGGGTTCGAGTTCCACTGTGCTCTCCTGGAAATCACACAACATTCAGCTGTTATTGGTTTGCTTACATCTAATCTGTTTACTGTTTAAGAGCAACTTAAAGGTAAATTAAGATTTTACCCATTGTCTGATAAATAAAGTTAAAATGGCACAGGACATGGTGTCTCTCAGCTATACTACCCCCTCCATGACAGTCAACTGCCCTTCTAATCCAGCTTCTCTACCCTGTGTTTCCATGGTCCGTCTGGACATTAGCCCTGCCTGTCATCATGCTGACCTGTGCTGGGTTCAGCTCCTGCAGCTCAGTCTCCTCAGTGAGAGGCATCTTCTCTGAAGTCTGTGAAGGAAAATGAAACAATCAATGTTTAAACAATAAGCAACGTTTTCATTAAAAACTGTGATCTGCAGGCAAATACAATCAGACCCAGTAATGTCGTTAGTAAATCTTTGTTTTTGTCAGAGAGAAGTACACACCTGTGAAGACAGAGTAATCTCTGGTACCTGTGGAAGAGTTCTCTTGATTCGGAATGAGACAACCTGAGAAAATTGAAAGGAAGGTTAGTTATACTGTGTATGGGAGAAAACACAAACACAATTTAAAATCTTACCTCCTCACAGCCAAGAACTCTATATCATTAGATACTATGAGCAGATACACTGTACAGCAACTTTTACTGACATTAAAGCTAAACCACTCAGTGACATATAGCGGCTGCTGACATATCCTACTTTGCTCTGGATGTGTGTTTTGCTTTTAAATAACCGACAACTCACTCGTCTCCTCTTCTTGACAGTGCTCTTGCATTTCAGCTCATCTCCCACTGGTAACTCCGTGTCCTCAATTTCCTACAACAATAGACAGAAACATAAATATAGGTTTTGCTCAACGGCTGCACAGAAACGTGCAAGTGATTTAGGAATTTAGAAATGACTATGTATTTACCTACTGTTGGCTTTTTAAACTGATTGTGTTTTCTTTATACCAGTAGGCCATGAAGCAGCAGAGAACATAACATTTCTATTACATTACAATTTGCAAATCATATCACAAAACACGGAGAAAATCTATACATGTGATTAGCCTGGCTAGTCACTATGGTCACCACTAGCAGATCTATCCATTATCTATACCGCTTACTCCTGAATAGGGTTGCAGGGGGGCTTTGAGCCTATCCCAGCTGACACTGAGCGAGAGGCAGGGTAGTAGACTACCCTGTCACAGGGCTGACATGTAGACAAACAACCACGCACACCCACATGGGCAATTTAGAGTCACCAGTCAATCTAACCTGCATGTCTTTGGACTGTGGGAGGAAGCCAGAGTACCCGGAACCTACTCGCTGTGAGGTGACAGCGCTAACCACTTCACCGCTGTGCACTAGCAGATCTATTGTTGCAAATGCTACTGACTGTACAGTTCCAATGATTGTTGACCTACACATCTGTCAGTGCTGAAAACATCGTACCTGTTGTCCCAAGGTTTTGGGCGTCCTCCTGAATATCCCAGCAAATCTGACTTTATTCTCCTGTGACATATCAAGCATGAAGCATTCATACACTGTAAGTCACAGACATACAACATAAACATACAACCACACAGTAATATACCTCAGAGACTCACCTTTGTGGGGTTTGTAGCTTCAAAAAGATTATTGTTACTGGCTGACAAGTCACCAGGTGCTAAAGGATCCTCCTTTAAAATAAAAGTAATCAAAACACTCT